GGCCCTGGCGTGCGCTCGCGCGCTGAGGCGTGGTCCGATGCCAACACATCTCATCGTTTGTTGTTGCAGCGGTGTATTCGTTTGTGCATCTGTGGTGTAAAACAGATGCGTTGCGATCGTCGCGTCCTGTCTGATTCGTGTCGGTTGCGTTGCGGCCATCGCATCTCGCATCAGTCCGCAAGCATTTTGGCTGGCATGGCGCCGGGTCCGCGGCCGAAGCGGCTCCGAACACACTCCGAGGCATTAGTTGGGGTCCACGGGGTCCACCGCGGTCCGTATGTTTCCCAGGCAGCATTGCCTCACGTGCTCACTTACGTTCGTGAGAATGGGTTGCCAGACGCTGTCTCGCGGGGTTCCCGAATATAGGGCATATGAGAAACATGCGGTCAATGAGCGTAACACATATGGCCTTATATTGAATGGCATGCAGATGCCTGTTGGCGACGATAACGATGGGGGCACATTTGAAGATTGGGCGTGTAACCCAGGGGCGTTCTTGTACACCATGCAAGAGAAGCGGCCCGTCCAGGTCATTGATGCGCCACCAATTGCAAAAACACCCATGTTCGTTAGCTGTGCCTTGGAATATAGTTCTTCATTTCGATGGTATGTCGCCACGCGATCTTCTCGCGAAAGGCAAAGGCCACCGTGGCGTGGATGTTGTGTGCGGGTCTTTTGCCAAATTCGACGAACACATGCAAAACGAAGATCTATGGTTCACGCTCAGCCCCGCGCGCGCGGCCAAGGTGCCTGGGGGCATCGGGCAATCTATCGGCATGATGCTCAGCGAGCATTTTTTTCACCCACATCCAAAGTGGGGTTCTTGTTTTCTCTGCGCACCCCGCGCGGGAACACTCACCCCACCACCTCTCCTCTTCTGCCTTCGCACACTCACTCACTCACTCATCATCATCACCACTCACTCACACTCACACTCACTCACACTCTCTCATCATCAACATCAGCATCATCACTCGCGCTCTCTCACACGCTCAGTCACTCACATACTCATCATCATCATCATCATCACTCCCCACATCCTAAGTGGGGCGTTTGTTCCCCGCATCCTAAGTAGGGTTCTTGTTTTCTCTCCACACCCTCCGCACAGGATCTCTCCTCCTCCTCCTCCCTCTCCTCTGCTCCTCTCTGCTTCCTCCTCCGCATCATCATCACCATCACCATCACTCCCCACTCATCATCACCATCACCATCAGCATCACCATCACCATCGCACGAACACTCACACTCATCGGCATCGAACGATCATCATCATCATCATCATCACTACTCGCTGACTTCAGGCCTGAATATGGAAGAAGTATCAGGCGGGAGCCTCGTCTGCGAGTGAATTGTGAGGAAGTCTCAGGCGGGAGCCCCCTCCCTATGGGGCCCGCATTTCATGTTCGAACCCGAGCGGGCCATCCGCAACGTGCAACTGTCGTCACTTTGGGGCTCTTGAGACCTGAATATGGAGGAAGTCTCGAGCGGGGGCCTCGTCTGTGAGTGAATTGTGAGGAAGTCTCAGGCGGGAGCCCCCTCCCTATGGGGCCCGCACTTCATGTTCGAATCCGGGCGGGTCATCAGCAACGTGCAGCTGTCGTCACTTTTGGGCTCTTGAGACCTGAATATGGAGGAAGTCTCGAGCGGAAGCCTCGTCTGTGAGTGAATTTCGAGGAACTCTCAAGCGGGAGCCCCCCCCCCAATGGGGCCCGCATTTCATGTTCGAATCCGAGCGGGCCATCCGCAACGTGCAACTGTCGTCACTTTGGGGCTCTTGAGACCTGAATATGGAGGAAGTCTCGAGCGGGGGCCTCGTGAGGAAGTCTCAGGCGGGAGCCCCCTCCCTATGGGGCCCGCACTTCATGTTCGAATCCGAACGGGTCATCCGCAACGTGCAACTGTCGTCACTTTTGGGCTCTTGAAACCTGAATGCGGAGGAAGTCTCGAGCGGGAGCCTCGTCTATGAATGAATTGCGAGGAAGTCTTAGGCGGGGGCCCCCTCCCTATGGGGCCCGTACTTCACGTTCGAATCCGAGCGGGTCATCCGCAACGTGTAACTGTCGTCACGTTTGGGCTCTTGAGGCCTGAATATGGAGGAAGTATCAGGCGGGAGCCTCGTCTGTGAATGAATTGTAAAAGACTCAGGCGGGAACCCCCTCCCTATGGGGCCCGCACTTCATGTTCGAATCCGAGCAGGGTCATCCGCAACGTGCAACTGTCGTCACTTTTGGGCCCTTGAGACCTGAATATGGAGGAAGTCTCGAACGGGAGCCTCGTCTGTGAATGAATTGCGAGGAAGTCTCAGGCGGGAGCCCCCTCCCTATGGGGCCCGCACTTCATGTTCGAATCCGAGCGGGTCATCCGCAACGTGTAACTGTCTTCACTTTTAAGCTCTTGAGACATGAAAATGGAGGAAGTATCAGGCGGGAGCCTCGTCTGTGAGTGAATTGTGAGGAAGTCTCAGGCGGGAGCCCCCTCCCTGTGGGGCCAGCGCTTCATGTTCGAACCCGAGCGGGTCATCCGCAACGTGCAACTGTCGTCACTTTTGGGCTCTTGAGACCTGAATATGGAGGAAGTCTCGAGCGGGGGCCTCGTCTGTGAGTGAATTGCGAGGAAGTCTCAGGCGGGGGCCCCCTCCCTATGGGGCCCGCACTTCATGTTCGAATCCGAGCGGGTCATCCGCAACGTGCAACTGTCACTCTTGGGCCCTTGAGACCTGAATACGGAGGAAGTCTCGAGCGGGAGCCTACGGCCCAGCCCGAAGGTTTGCCCCGACGGCTTCGCGATCTTGCCGTCGGCAGACGCGCGCGCGCTGGCCGGGGCGGCGACGGCGCTGAGGAAAATGTATTTGCTTGCCCCGACGAGGGGGAAGGGGAGGTGCACATGGAGACAAGGCAGGGGGGTGATGCGGGAAGGGGCATGGGGGAGGCCGACGGCGAGGAGGAGGTGGCGCGAGAGGAGGAGGAGGAAGAGGAGGAGGAAGAGGAGGAGGAAGAGACATAGAAGGGGGAAAAGAGGGCAGCGCAGGGGGCGAGAGGAGAGGGTGTCCGCAAGGGGGAGGAGGAAAGGGCAAA